AATTGTTAGTGAATTTTTAGAACTAAAGTAAGTTTTCTGATAAAGAAGTTAAAAGTTTTCTTGATATAAAATTGTCATTGGAGTTGTAGTTGAAGAACTTTTTGCTAGACTTTGTGTTAAAATTATTATTGGAGTTGTTGAAGATGTCATTGAACTTTTACTAGATTTTTTGTTAGACTTCTTTGCTAGATTTTCTTTAAAAAGATCATTGAAGCCTTCTCGTGGAGTTGTTATACTAGTTTTTTTTTTAAGAAAAGTGGGCTAATAGGTAGATTTTTAAATAAATAAGAATAATGAGCGGGTGAATGGGTATTTTAAATTATTTTAAGTTTTTTTTTATTAAATTAAATAAATAAAAAGTTAATAATTTTGTTACGCAATACATTTGTTGCATAACAAAAATTTTTTTATTTATTATGCAACTATATTTATTGTATAACAAGATTTTTTTAAAAAAAAAATAAAATAAAATAAAATCAAATAATAAAAAAAACTTATGTAATTTCATACTATTATGTGATCGATTTTGATTAGTTGATTACAGAGTCACTATAGTGATGGGTCGCTATAAACTAATGCCTATATTTTATAATTTTATACTATTAAATATACAAATTTTATAGTTTAATCTTACTTTAAATTCATTTAATAGGCAATCTGCAAGATATCTAGACAAAAAATTTTATTTTATATATAAATTTTACTATAAGTCTAAAAGTGCAACACTTCTATTTAAAACTTTTTTTACTAATTATATCACTCTTGGGCTTTAACAAAAATTGTAGAGCTCATCAAGATGCATCTAATAATAGTAAGAATATTAAAATTGGCTTAGTAGTTCTTGAGAAATCTTTAAAAAACTTCTTTTTATATATAAAATTTTTTTAAAAAAATCAATTTTTTTTAAGGGTAGAGAATACCATAGATCATTTTTTATATGATATATATAGTAAATTAAAACCTTATATAGATATAAGAATATGCTACTGATAAAAATTTTTGAATTTTTATTAAAATTTTATAATTTTATAGATTAAAACATACTTTTTTCTAATGATATAAATTTTAATAACTAAATTATTTTAATAAACTATACTTGTATATATTATAAAGTTGCTGCAGTAACCTTAAATTTGCTAAGGTTATACAAAATTGTTAATTTTTATTGGTTATATCATATAATCATTATATGATTTTTTGTAAACAAAAAATCAATACTCAATCTTTAAATATATAGTTTTACTACCATTAGAATTAGAAGAATCTATTCTACAAATTTTATTATAAATTTAATAGATGATTCACCAGTAATCTGGAGAGCTATGTAATACAGATTATACAAGAGGATGAACTATAGAATAGCGTGTATTAATACACTTGATAATCACATTGTGATATCTGGTTCAAAATATGCTGTTGTACATAATGCATTAATGAATGCATCCCAAAGCCTATCCTTGTTTACCTTGCGCCAAATAAATTCAAGTAAATGATTTTCGATAAATTCTT